CATATTCTCTATTTCACTTTTTAAATATTATATTATTATTTCTACTTTTTTATAATCAACATATCATTTTTTATATATAAGGCTATTGATTAAATCTCTTATATATGCAATTGTTTTTAAATTTAATATAATGTTTTCAAAAATATTTTATTTTATATATACTACTTTCATCTCGAATTAAAATTTTTTTAAAATTTTTTTTGTCGCTTTGTGATACAATTTGATGTTATATTAATTTCCAATATGAAGAATGGACAAAATTTAAATGATAAGATAAAATTCTAATTTAAAAATATAATCCATAACATAATAATTTAAGTATAAGATAAAAATAAATACAATGCATAACATAATATACAAGACAACAATAGATACAATGCATAACATAATAATTTTAAAAATCACAACAATAATTTAATTATCGAAAAGTCGTGTCTAGATTTAACGATATTCGAAAAAGAAATTAGTGTATGATTTAAAGAAGTTGTGATTGTGATTGCGATTGTACTTGTTGATTTCTTCTTTTAATTATTCTTAGTTGTTCTTTAGAAATTTAAAATAATATATAATTTAATATTAAATAAAAAATTTCAAAAAATTAAAATTTTATATTTCATGAAATTATATATAATGATTATTCATAAAAGAAGAGAAAGAAAGAAAAGATTTATATTATAGAATAAGAAAACAAAAAGGAAATAGAATTAATAGTATAATATTGAGGAGAAAAAAAAATTCTTTTTTAGAAAGTAGAATAAAGAATTGGATTGAAGTTGGTTGTTGAAAAAATAGAGAACTTTATATTTAGAGTGTAAACTATATATTTCCTCCAAAATATATAGTTTGACAACACTTAAGGGGTGACCTAGTGATTAGTAAATTTAATTGAGAATTGTAAGATTCAAATTTCAATAAATATAATAATTAAATATTAGGTTATTTTTTTTCCTATTCTAAATGGATATAATTAGTTATTTAATATCTATAGCTAAAAACGAGGACGCGAAATGATCCTAACACTATGAATATATATATATTACTTAATTAGTTAACATAACTATAGCTTATCTTAATTACAATTTGCGACCTATTTTTCGCTATAATTACGTGGCTCGATTTTTTAGTTTTGTATAATTCACATGTTTATATAATTCAGAATTTGTTTATATAATTTGTATAACTTCTGTATAATTTGAAATTTGTATAATTATTTACACTTATGATGTTTCTAATAGTATACATTTATTATTTTGAATTTATACAAAAATAAATAGCTTATATAAATATCCATGAATTATATAAATGTATAAATTATACAGTACACTATAGTTATGGAAGATAGTTGGATTTATAGCAAAAGTTATCCTGTATAAAACATTGCTTTTGACACATACAATGAATAAACACACACTAGAAGATATTAAAGCTTTTTTAGCTCAATGGCTTGAATATGCTTTGATTAAGCATAATAATAATTGATTTAAATGTGACCTAAGATACATCGTAAATCGTGACATAATCCAATGCGTATGCATTGCTCTTTCCTTTTATATTTGCTACACCCCTGAAAACAACTTGACCTTATTATTAATATAATATAATAAAATAATATTTTATATTTGGTCTACATCCAAAATTGCTTTTGAAAAAACCTATTTTTAAGTTTCTGGCTTTTTAAAAAGAGAGTATCATATTTTGTTTTTGGTCATCCTAAGATGCTCATCAACGAGGGAGGTTTCTTAATTTATATTTATTATAATCGATTTAAAGAAAATAATATATTATAATTTATATTTATCATAATCGATTTTAAGAAAATAATATATTATATTAAATTAAAAGAGAGGTTTATTTAAGGGCAACTTTTATATATAGCAAATACAAAATTTATATTTGTATACTATATCAAAGTTTGTATAATTGCGCTTCATAGCAAACATAAGAACTGTATAATTCGCTACACATATAGAGAACTGTATAAAAACGAAGTGCATAAAAGGAATTGTATTATTATAAGTGTATAGAACGATTATATACCATTTGAATTTGTATAAAATGAGAAAGAGAGAGACAAAAGAGACTTGACAAGGAATATACAATTGAATCGAATTGTATAAAATGAGAAAGAGAGAAATTATATATAATTTGAAAATTGTATCAAACGAGAAAAAGAGAAAGGCAAAAGAAACTGGGCAGGGAGTATTTTTATTATATAATTATAAGTGTACAGGACGAAAATATATGTACTTGCATGTGTATATACAATTTTCTCACGCTTTATACAAATCGAAACACAATTTATACATTTCACTTCTGTTTGTATAAGTGAGAAAGGCAAGGGTGACGAGCGAGATTTGGGAGAGTGGCGAGCGAGATCTGGAAGAGGGGAGAGAGGGAACAAAAATATATGTATTTATACAATTTTCTCTGCTTTATACAATTAGAAATAATTTTTATACACTTGTGTTTGTATAAAAAGTAAGGAAGCGAGCGAGAGATTGGAGGAGAGTGGCGAGCGAGAGATTGGAGGAGAGTGGCGAGCGAGATATCTGGGAGAGAGGCGCCTGACAATTTTTTGCAAACGTTTGCTATGGAGCACAATTAAATCAAACCCTAGTTACTCCATTTATTTTAAGTTATTAATTTGCTATTATATACAATTTTCCCTTAATTTAATACTTTATCAATCTTAATATAATTAATTTATATTTATTAGTTTAAAGAAAATAATATATTATATTAAATTAAAAGAAAAGAACGATAAGGAACATTAGATCCCTTTGAGTAGTACTATATATTAAAAATTTATCATGTATCATGTTATGTTTACGTTATATTACTTTCTCCGTTTTAAAATAATATTTTTATTTCCTTTTTAGTTTGTTTAAAAAAGAATGATTCTTTTTTTTATTTGACAATAATTTAACTTTAACTTTCCACGTGACATGTTTAAAACCACAAGAATAAAGGGTATTTTGGTACATTTGACATAAATTCAATTTTGAATCACAAGATTAAAAAATTTTCTTTCTTTTTTTAAATTCTGTTTCAAGTCAAATTAGGCCATCATTTTTTAAATGGAGAGAGTATGTCTTCTTACTCTCATTAATTGTGAAAAAAATTGGTCTTCCGTAGTTAGTAATTTATGTGACTCATCGACGCTTCATTTCACCCAGTATCTAATTTTATTCTTGTAACCTATGTAACCTATATATAAGCTATTCATTCCAAGGAATTCATCATTTTTCTATTCATTCCAAGTAAGAATTTATCACCTATAAATAGTGGTCTTCCTCCTTTGTGTTGTAAAGAACAAGAGATATAGAAAAAATATAGAGTGAAAAAGATGACTAGTATTATGTTGTGTTTATATGGAGATTAGTGTAGTGAAAAAGAGAGTAGTGACATAGAAAAAAATTCTATAAGTTTTCAATTATATTCACTATACAAAAGAGAATATATATATATATATATATATATATATATATATATATATATATATATATATATATTTGTTGAAGGAAAGTGTTCTTTTTTTAAGTTTAGACTCTTCAACCAATCTGGAGTTGTTTGAATTGTATAACGTTATTGGGTTGTTGTATCCTGGATAGGACAAGTCAAATATGATACTGCTGGATTGGTGCAGATTATGCCGCACTGATCTTAAATCTAGCAGCTCCTTAAGGCCGAGATATCCGATTCTCTAGCCTAATAATTTATTTATTCATTTTTGTTCATTTAATTTCAAATGTGATTTACTATATTAATGGTATATACTAGGGTTTAAAATCAAATTAATTAGCTTGAGGTGGTACAAAAACAAGCCACCATTTTTTTAAAAAAATAAGTAATTTTGTCGCTAAGAAAAATTAAAAAGAAAATATTAATCAAAACCGTTGTTTATATGCTCTGACTATTAATTACCTAATCCTATTTGTGTTTAATATTCCCTCTTATCTTTCTATTGAATTGAAAAATAGATATTAAGACAGTGTTCACGTTATTGAGAGTGACACTCTAATAACTTAATGCGTGCAAGCCATAATAAGGAGATTACGAAAGGACTCATATTAAGATACGAGGTTAACTACATAGTTAAGTTTTTCTTTATTTTTTTTTATGTTGTTATAACTTTCCTAGTGTTCGTTCTTTAAGTTTGGTTAATTAGTATCTATATGTTTTTTCGCACTTTTATTATTATTTTATTTTATTATGACTATTGTTTATAATGATTTAACGTATTGTTATTTTCCTCTATCTTGTTTTGACTTGTACTGAAAATATTGACATTTAATATCTAATGTTTATAATAAATTTGAATTTTGACTAAACGCATATAATTTTGAATTTAAAATTTAATTTTTTAATAAATAATAAAAAAATATTTATCGATCGTACGCCAATAAACTTAAAAGGAAACCCCAATAGCTTTGTCAACCTAAAAAAGTAGTGACTTAGTCAAGTCAATCCCCAAATATACCTCCACCTCACTACTAACCTTTTTACTCTCACACCAAAAATCAGGCTATTTCCCTCTACCTTCTTATTTTACCACTCCCATACAAAATGAAATGCGTAAGCAATGACAATATCTCACTTATATTTTTTTCCTTCGATTTATATTAAAATTTAAATTATGTAATTCAGAACTGATTTGTAGAGTGATGTTCAGAACAAGATTTTCTCTGTATTTAAAATTTAAATTTGGAAATGTAAAACAGTCTCATCAGTGCATCACGACAGACTCGGGTTGGTCCCACTCATCTTACTTATCCACATACAAACTTAATGTATCGACACGTGTCCATTTACTTTATTTTTTTTAATTTTTATATTACTTCTCTTTTTCACGTTTATTCTAGGTCCTCCCTCCTTCTCTAGCCACGTGTCCCTTTCACCTCCTCTATATTTGCTTCTCCTCCTCTGTTTTCTACGTTTCAACTTTCAAAAACACCTCTTTCTCTCTGTGTAATTACAAAAACAAATTAAATCAATTCTTTTTCTTGAAGACAAAGTAATGGTGGAATTGCAATTTCCTGCTGGATTTCGATTCCATCCAACTGATGAAGAGCTTGTGATGCATTATTTATGTCGAAAATGCGACGCACAGCCAATTGCTGTTCCGATTATAGCTGAAATTGATCTCTACAAGTACAATCCATGGGATCTACCTGGTAATTTTTCATCATTTTATTTACTTAGCTGTTGTTTTTTTTTTTGCACAATTTTGATGATTTTTTTTCTTCAGATTTGGCTTTGTATGGTGAGAAAGAGTGGTATTTCTTTTCGCCGAGAGATCGGAAGTATCCGAACGGTTCACGGCCGAACCGAGCTGCGGGGAGTGGATACTGGAAGGCGACGGGTGCGGATAAGCCGATTGGTCGTCCAAAGTCGATGGGAATTAAGAAAGCTTTGGTGTTTTACGCAGGAAAAGCTCCGAAGGGAGAAAAAACAAATTGGATTATGCACGAATATCGACTTGCTCATGTTGATCGATCTGCTCGTAACAAAAACAACAGCCTAAGAGTGAGTAAAATGAACTGAATTAAGTGATTTTGAGATTTGAATCATTTTGACTAATCGAATGTTTTTTTTTTAAAGCTCGATGATTGGGTTTTATGTCGAATCTACAATAAGAAAGGTACAATTGAGAAGAATCAACTGAATATCCGAAAAATGAACGGTGAAATGTCGCCGGCGGTGAGTGAAGGTGATGTAAAGCCTGAGATCGTGCCGATTTCAGTTTCAACAAACCCATCTTCGACGTCTTATCACGTTTACAATGACTTCACGTACTTTAATTCACCAGATTCTCTTACGAAACTTCACGCCGATTCCAGCTGCTCGGAGCACGTACCTTCGCCGGAGTTCACATATGAGAAGGAAGTTCAGAGTGAGCCGAAGCCGAAACCGAGTGAGTGGGAAAAAACTGCCCTTGATTTTCCATTTAATTACACAGATGCCACTGCTTCTGAGTTGCAGAGTTGTTATGAGATGTCACCGCTACAAGATATATTCATGTATCTGCAAAAGCCGTTTTGAGTGGGCCTCGCATTGTTGTTCGCACGTGCGAATGAGACTGAAGTCGATGACTTGGCACGTGCCGATGATTTGTAGGAATTGAAATATTAGTATTTTTGGGTTTTTTCATTTGCTTTCACATTAGCTATTTTTTTTTGTTTTGGAGAAAAAAAAGCATATTTGGTCGTATATAGTTTTATTTTTTCGAAGAAGGAAGAAAAATTAGTAGAAAACAAAGTTGTGAAATGATATATTTATTGGATTTATTAGAATACTTGTGGAAGTTTTGGATTAGTACTCATAATTTCATGTATGTATATGATTTAGAGGTATTACAAATGAGCTCAATTAGATTTTCTTCAAAATTCTAAGGATCGAGTTCAAAATAATTTGAATTAGATTATACTCATTCAAGTCTAGCTCAATTTGATTTTCAATTTTAATTTGTGTATGAATTGTTTATTTACATTAATATAGTGTATGTGCCTATATTGAAGTATTAATTAAAATCTATTTTATATCTTTTAAAATTTATCTATTTTTTGATATATTTTTTTAAAAATTTTTTTATTCTAAAGTCAAATTATGGTTATAAAACTTAGCAAACAATATACTAAAATTATTGAAAATAAGCGAATTAGATTGAGCGAGTGAAGACTTAATCGATCCAATTTATTTTTAATACCATTTGAGCCAAATTTATTCGAGCTCAAAATAAACTTTAACGCATTTTAAGATTTTCAATTTTAACTAAATTCGCTCCTTTGACATTTTAAAATTATAATCTCTCTTGTTGACCTTTTGGAATGATTACTCGTAGATAACTTATTACTCGTACATAAGTTATTAATGATTGATTAACATGGATTGTGGTGTACTGGTAATAAGTTATTACTCATACATAAGTTATTAATGATTGATTAACATGGATTGTGGTGTACTGGTAAGAGTGTTTCATCCTTAATCAAAAGTCTCGGGTTCGAGTCCTGGGTTTGAAGAATAAGTTATTAATGATTGATCAATATGGATTGTGGTGTACTGGTAAGAGTGTTTCATCCTTAATCAAAAGTCTCGGGTTTGAGTCCTGGGTTTTGAAGAAAAATTTATTGGGAGTGCCACCTCCGAATGGGCCTTGCAGTACGCAATCCAAATTTAATCGAAGCTCTAATATGGACTCTGAACACCAGCTGAAAAAACAAAAAAAGAAAAGGTTATTAATGATTGAGAGAAAGGTTAGTGAGCTTCTATTTGCAGATATCGACCCTTTACTCAATTGGGCAAATGATCTGAAAATCAAGGAAAGCTCACTAGTCACTACTACTAAAATACAAAAGATTGGAAAATATTGTAATCTTGCGATATCTAACTAATAATAGTACTTCTTCTATTTCAATTTAATTAATTTATTTTTTAAAAAATATCTTTTTAATTTGTTAAGAACTCTATTTCAATTTAATTAAATTTTTTTTAAAATATCTTTTAAATTTGTTAATAACTCTGAAATTCCACGTGACATATTCAAGACTCGTACAAACTCGATACCTTTGGACCATCTAATTAACAATGACATACATGTAATGTATACCTCAAACATATTTGATATACTAAATGGTTGATTTTTAAATTTAAATTTCAAAAACTTTCTAATTAGACTTCATGTTCAATAACAAAGACAAATAAATAAATAATATATTATTCCATTGATTAATTGACAAAGTGGTTTAATTTGTTGCAACATCCTTTTCACTCTTCAATCTCTCAAAACCCAATTATGTTAAGATGGTAAACTGACAGGATATGCCCCTAAAGCTATTGATTCATCAAGAAGCAAATGCAACTGCCAAAATATCTGTTGAAAGAGTTGAGATCTGCAAAATTAGTAATTTTGAAAATGTAGTTGGACAGAGTAAATACGAAGCAAAACTAATAAACTTTATTGTGCCAGGCCTTCTGCACAGCAATCACCTTTGGCATTTGTTGCATAACAAATGAACCACTGGGATTTGAAATAAACATTCCGTTTTTCTAATCATGACGACTACTTGATATTCATATTTCTAAGAACCGCAGAAACTGTACAATTTGGTGCTTAAAAGCTAGGTGTAACTAACTTCTTTCTACTTGCAAATATCTTACTATTTTACAGTTGTAACACAGGTAGCAAAGCTTTAGATATGACTTTACCCCATAGGCTCGAACATGAACAGAAGATTGTTCTTTACCATGTTCAACTCCCAAGTTTGCATTATTTCTGTCTTGCTTTCTTTCACTCACTATCGCTATGAGTCCTACTGGACCAGCTAATCTCAATCTCCAGAGTCCGTGATGAGCCATCCTTGTTGTTGTCCTGGCTGAGGCTGAAAAGGCCACTATACAGACCTTCACTAACAACTTTATCAATTTGGATTGTTACCCTCCCGATAGTGGTCTGAAACAAAAGTTTACTCATCAGAAATGCTGAGACTGATGTTAAGTAGGAGTGACCTGCACTAGGCAAGCCCGGTGCAACGAGCTCGACCCAGAAGACAAACGCAAGGGGTTTTCAACTTGAGACCTCCAACATGAAAGTCCCAAGCCCAAACCACTGGGAAACCCCGAAGGGTGTTCTAGCTGGAAGTTCATTGGTCAAAGAATATAAACTTCACATCAGACATTCAGAATATAAAGCTATTTACCTTCCCAAATGTGTTTTTGCTTTTGCACAAGATATGTAACTTTTGTCCCTTGGGTGGTACATCAAAAGCCCATGTGAAGCCTTCTTCCCATTCTGGTGACGTACTGTGACTCACAACCTAATCATGAACCATAGATTGTTAATATGAACGCAGATCACCAAAACAAGAAGCTTTTTTATATACAAGGTTCTTTAACACATTCCTAAACCTAAATGTCTTAATCGGTAGACATAATTTATTCCTCTCTTGGAAGTTCCTATGAAGTACAATCAAGTAAAACTGCAATTCAAATAAATTTCAGAATAAAAAAGGGAAGAAGAAACCACACGAAAATATCACACAAAAAATGTTCTTAGCATGACTAGATCTTATAATTGTTGCATGAGCTTAATATGATTATCCTGTGTTTCTAGGACTTTTCAAATATGCCGACGCACCCATGTATTATACTACTTTTGGAGAATTGAATATGCACCTGACAATATTTTTGTGATTATCTATAGAGATCCATGGAAATCATCACTGTCTTATGCAAAGAGTTATATAAGACATCATGTAATTAAACATTCAAGCACACAAGCAATTTGTATAAAGCACCACTATCGCTGGCATGCCTTAAATACCTTCAAAGTAATGTCTAGTCACCCAGAACTGAGCATCAAGGTAATGTGAGACGACATTCTGTTTCTTCCTCACACGAAAATCATTTTATAGTTCTTTTCCTAATTTTGAATATAATTACAGGATAAATTTGTTATTTTGAGATCAGATTTATAATAAGAAGTTGATCTTGGAAGCTCTACATTTTTAAAAAGGAAATAGTGGAGAGATTATGGTACAAGGATTACTTTTGTGAAGGATCCACAATTTAATAATTTTTCTAATGGAAAAAAAAACTAGGGAATTATAATATTTGGATAGGGAAATTATATTTTTAATATAGTATATTCCAGATGCAAATGTTCCAACCACCAGCGACTTCATTGACTTGTTATAGTCTCACAAAATATTGGAGACTATAAACTACCCTACTATACTCACTGCCCCTAGTTTGGGTCGTGACAGTGCAATACACATACCCAACTATACTCAGTGTAGCTGTGATGGTACTTAACAGTTAACACATATACCCCCAGTATAGCTGATGTAGGCTGTGATTGTACAAAATTGTCATTCTCATGATAAGTTAATGATTTCAAAAGTATAAAACAGATTTTAGAATAACAAAAGCGTTTGTGCTTCATCAACAATTATAAAGTGCTGGCTCATTACCTTTGTTTGCCGTGATGGACCATTTCCAATAGTCAATTGACAAAAAGCATTAGTTCCTCCCATCACCTGCTTTAAATTGTTTGCACGCTTGATTGTGACTGTCAAACAACCTGGTAAGCAATGCAACAGACTGTCTGCTCTATCATGGAAACTTGGTGGGCAAGTCTTCATTAGTATCTGCAATACTGGAATGGCTTCAGCAGCAACCATTGCTTGTGAGTTTGACACATCCATTGGCATGGTTGACCATGATTGCTTGAGTAAGCATAGTGTAGTCAATACTGAATCCTGTGCAGGCTCACTACCAGACTTCAATGCAGCCACCAGATGAGGGATACAAAGCGTAGCAGCATCAGTAACATGGAGCTTGGGAAAATTAGAAAATATAACATGAATTGTCCGGAGAATCTCCTCACTAGCAGTTGCCTTGTTCCACAATTCCTTATCAAGTGCAGCTGCATTTCAAGGAATTTTAAAATGTTTTTAGCAAATAAAAGGAAAAGGAAATACTTGTACTACAGTCATGACAAGAAGAAGGAACAAAAAAGAGATGAGAACAAAAGGTATGCAACTAAGATTTAGGATTTGGTCAGCTTAAGACATTAGATCATGGAAAATTTGAATTTCGAAATTCATAGATCAGAAATATTAATAGCTGCATTGGAGCGGTACAAGAAAAATTAGACAACGAAAGAATAAGCATCGGGTAACAGTTTGGCATCTTGTTACTTAGTATACAGGGTCGTTTTATTTTTATTTTTTACAAGTAGGATCGTTTTATTTAATGGCATTAGGTCTTATGTCTACCAATCTAGTGCACTATGTTTTTCCTTTTGTCAGCTGTCCAATTCTTTGAAGCACTAACTTTAGCTTACAGATCTAGTTTCTGAAAATGGCTCTGAATCTGTAGCTATCAATTAAGTGCTAGCTTCTAAAGTGACTGAAAAGCTAAAGCTTTCAATTTATTGTTTCAAGACTTTACCTTCAACTTGTGGGGATATAAATCAAAATGTGAAAAGAAAAATAATTGCAGCATAAACTTTCTAAGGGTAAAATATTGGAACATATATACATCTGAAGACTCCTTTTCTGGGTTTTTAGCAGATTGCATGTAACATTATTTTCGTGTAGGCTTTGGATGGTTCATGTATATTTCCATAAAAGCTCTTCACCAGATGTAGGTGCTTCATCATCATCGCACTTCCAACAATTAAAAATGAAAAGCAAGTACTCCTATTTGTCCCAATTTATGCGGCACACTTTCCTATTTAGTTTGTTCCAAAAAGAATGTCACCTTTAGAAAAAAAATTGAACTTCAAAATTCTCA